CTTTGCAGAAGCCGAGCTTTAATGCCAGCAGTGCGATGACCCGGGGGCTCTGCTGGGGGGAGCTGAGGTGCATCTCGTGTGGCATTCAGGTCTCTTCGGGTCTAAAGGAGGAAGGGGCAGCAGGCCTCTGTCTTCCTCACCTCCAGAGAACCAGGGGTCTGCTCGGGAGCTGAGCCCTGTTACTCCGCAGTTGGTACCTGTGCTCCTGTATCCTTGCTGCTTCTGAGGAGAGAGAGAAGAAATGAGTGCCCCCCTGTGCAGGGAATAGGATGGCAGCCCCCTGGGATGTCTGACGCTCCTGCTGCTGGCCCATGGCTGTTTCCCACCCTTCTGAACTCCCTTGTGACCTCAGTGGAGACCAGGTGCTCAAACTCCCCCCAATTACCTCGAAGAGGTTGGAGGAACCTACCTGGCGCTTGCATGGGAGCACAGCCTGCCCTGGTTCTGCACGTAGCAGCTGATCTCAAGGGACTCCGCCCAGTCATGTGTCCTCAAGCTCCCTCGCCCCTGCTCCCCATGTCCCCAAGTTGTGCCCAGGCAGCTGGCAGTCCTGGCTGCTGTCCATCCTTGACAGCTCTGCCCAGCTGATGGCTTGTACCATTTGTGGAGACCTGTTTGGATCTAAAGTCATTTCTGTGGCAGAGATTTTTAGGGCTGCGCAGACTATCCCACGGTTATATGCATGTAAAGTTCTGTGCAGCTCTGCTCAGATTCATGAGCTGCTTCTGCTGACCTGACGTGGGCACAGCCTGAGCACAGCAATTCAGGGCCGGCAGCTGCCAGACCTGCTGCATGTATGTGGGGCTGAACGGCTGCAGGGGAGGGAGTGGAGCAGCCCAAGAAAGAGAAATGAGTGCAGGGCGCTCTGCTAAGAGCTGTCGGCTAGAGCTGTGTGAAGGCAAAACATCACTCTGATCTCAGGAGCTTTCATTGAGGAGCAGCGGGAGCTGCAGGGCTTCAAAGCAGCTGGGAAACGGTGAAGGCTGCACTGCTGGAGATGGTGAGATGAAGGGGGACAGGAGCATCCCTGCTTAGAGGGGATGGATGGGACAGGCAGCTGCTTCTGAGATCTTTTAATCTGGGGGCTGTGTACAGGAAACCATGTTCCCACTGGCATGAGGATGGAGCAGGAGGAGCAGAGCTGTGCTGGGTATTGAGCTCCAGGGCTTGTGTCCTGCCTGTCCCTCTCTTTCCTCTGTCCCCCCTCCCTTTCCCATCTCCATGTGTAATTCATGCTGCTCTCCTCTCACTGTCTCTCTCTGCTTGCTGCTCAAGGTCACCTTCCTTGCTGGGCTGGGTTTTCACATATTGATTGCTTGGCTCCAACAACCAATGTCTCAGTGAGCTCCCGGGCTCATGCCAGCTCAGCATCTTGTCACTCTCTGAAAGAAGCTTCTCCATATGGGCCCCCCTCCTTTTTCATCCTGCCCTCCCCTGCACGCTCTCCTCCCATCCCCTGCCCAGGCATGATTAGCAAGCACCAAAAGAAGGAGGGGAAAGCCTTAGAGGCACGGAGGAGCAGCCTTCCCCTTCCTCTGCCTGGTCATGTCCCTTGGTACTGCCTGGGGACACAGCCACCCTTTTCTTCCCTATTGTAACTCCACTGCCAGGGCAGTGCAGGGGGAGCTGGAGGTCAGAGGCAGAGGTGGGAACCAGAGCAGCAGCAAGAGGAGGAGAAGGGAGGTTTTCAGCAGTCCTGGGAGCCAGGTGATGTGGGATGAGGTCACAGAGATAACACACATACCATGTCCACACCAGCCAGCATCAGTGTCCCCACAGTGGCAGCCCAGTCCCCAGCCCGCACCCAGGGTGGGCATCTACTGAGTTTATTGGCCAAGTGCAGTATCAATGGCAGGAGGGGAAAAGGCCTCTGAAGTGTGGATGCTGACAAGATCCTGGCCTCCTCCAGGCTAGAAATCACCCTTAAATGCTGTTGAAGAGGAAGCGCTGTGGCCGAGCTCGCTCAGCGAGTGAGGCTTGGATGATAACAGTTTTATTTATAGCATTAACTGGCTGTTGGCTCAAGGCACCGATTTGTGCTTAGTGTGTGCAGTCCTTTAGGGTGGCTGTTTGTGCAGCTTGTGGCCGGAGTGCTTGCCTGGCCCTGCCAAAGCCATTGCCGTGCTTCCATTGCCTGGCATTGATCCCACCCTGTCCCAGCTCTCATTCCCAGCCCCCCAGTCTGGCCAGAGCCTCATTTCCTACCTGTATGTTTACGGCATCCCATATGGAGAAATCCCACTTGAGTGCCATAGGGTCTGGGAGGTTGTGCTTCGCTAATGCTAATGGACTAATTAGTAATGGCCACCTGGTCACCACTGCGTTGCTTCTCAGCACCTCAGTTTCCAGATCTATCCCTTATTTATCCATTCTTTAATTTATTTTTGAAGGATCCCAGTGCTGGGATTCATTAGATGGGAGCTGCAATGGTTTTGGAGACAAAATCACTGCTCATGAATTATCGCTGGGGTGCAGACAGCTGCCGGGGCCTCTGTGGGGAAACTCAACAATGGAAACTGAGACAAAAAAAAAAAAAATAATACAGCCCCAACTTAAATTGTTTGGGCTTTTCCTCTCCTCATTTTCCTCTTTATTGCTAGGTGAAGGAGGAGGAAAAATACAGCCAAAGAAAGAAGAGAATGCCTTATTTCCCCCTTCACAACCTTTTTGCTTAAATCCTGAAGGTTTAGGGCTGAAATGACAAGCCAACCCCCTCCTTGCAGCCGATCTGGGAGTGCCTGAGCACCCCGGGGCTCTTCCAACCTCCTCCTCCTCCTCCCTGCCCGGGGGGGGGGAGTCATTGCAGCGAACTGCTCAGGGTGGAGATGCGCCCAAGAAGCAGCTATTCTTAGCGATGTTGCGTTAGGTCTTGTCAGCAGGAGCCCTGATGCCTGGGGGAGGCACGTGTCCCCGGGGGGCCCGCATGACTTAACCCAATTCCTGCAGAATCCCTGCAAAGCTTTCCGGGAGCTCTGCTTTGGGACAAGGGCTGCAAGGAGCCTGGGGGCGATGAGGCCGAAGGGCAGGGGTCTGTGCTCTGCTTCACAGGGGGACGTGACTGCTCTGGAGGATGCTGGAGCCTGCAGCATGAAAGCTGGTGTCCCCAACGCAGTCAGGATTGACAATGTTCTTGTTCCTTGCAGCGGGGGGCAAAAGCTGCTTGGTGTGTCCCCGGAACGGGGGTTATGCCCTCCCTGTGGCTGATCCCAGCTGTGGGGATCTGTCCCACACCCACGACCAGCAGCATCACTGCCCAGAGCAGCCCTGGCTGTTGCTGCAGAGAAAGGTTTCCCAGCACCACTCCTAAGGTCACTCTTTGTTCTCACCCAAGCACACCAAACCATCTCAGCAGAGAGGAATGTTGAAATGGAGGAAAGCACTGATGAATCGGCTCTACCATCTGCGTAAGCCAAGCTTTTCCCAGGCTGCTGGCACCAGCACCAGCACCTCACTGGGCTCATAGCTCTCCTCACCAAGCATTCATTCCCCATCTCATCATTTCTCTGCTCCTGCCTTTAGATCTCACTTTTGACCCAAAGCCCTGTGTTGGCTGTGGGGCAGGAGGCAGCAGCCGATATGGAGCACCTGCAGACCACGAGCAGAGGAGGAGAGCCCCCACTCCTCCCAGCACGCCTGAGCGAGTGCTGGCTTTTAAAATAACCAGCCCAAAGCCCTGCTCTTCTGTTTCTGTGGGATGTAGAAAACCTGGAGAGGGGGAAGAGAGAACAAGCTTTGAGTGAGTGCGTGTGAGTATCACTAATTTATGATCAGAGAAATGTGTGTTTGAATTCAAAGATTACAGGGAAGGACCTGGTATTCAGCTGATGATAAATCTGTTTTACTGGGGGGTTATGAAAAGGCTTCCCCACCGGGCAAATTGCAGGAAGGCAGAACGTAATTACCCCAAATTCCAATTTGAGTAATTATCTCTACATACCTGTCACTCCCCTGGTGCTTTCAGCTGAATAGGGAGGTTTTGCTTTCCCTTGCCTCTCTGCTTAAGAGAAAAAGCTTTTTTGCAGAGCTGCTGGGCTCCCTGAATAGCTGGGCTGCCCCGTGGGGAGGCAGGGGCTGGAGGCACTCGCCTGAAAGGCTCTGGGAGTAGCTGCCATCCCACCTGAGGCTAGAACACCCGTCCCTCTGCCTTTTGCCTGTGGCACCTGGGAAGGAGCCATCAGATGTTTTGCTGCATGTGGGGAGGGAAGAACAGGGGTAGGGGATTCGGGTGTCTGCATCCAAGGACATCTTTGCCCTTGCAGAGAGGGCAGCACCATCCTGGGCAGAGAGAACCATGGGGAAAGACCAAGCAAGGGGCCAGGATGCCGAGATTTCCTCCTTTGTCTGTGAGCAGGATGGCTGAGGTTTGGCAGAGGAGCCGTGGCTGGGAGGGGTGCTGGCTGCTTCAGCTGCAGTCTGGGGCTGTCCAGCCCTGTGCCTCCTCTCCCCGGCCCCTGGGCTCCCTGCAGGTGCAGCATCCCTGCGCCTCCACACCACACATTGAGGCAGCTGCAATGGACTGTAGATAGCTGTTCTAAGTGTTGTCTCCTAACGCTTCCCTGAAGAGCCAGGCAGCGTTTGGGGACATTAGAAATCGATGCACATCACATATGGATTGTTTTCCCTATCTTCCACACCTCTTCATCCTCTCTGGCTGCCTCCATGCTTGTCCCCTCCTCCCACCCCCATCATTCAGCTCTGCTCATGGCATCAGCTGTCACCAGGAGGTAACAAGTCCGCTTACCCCCACCCCAATCTGGGAACAAGGGGCAGCTCCATCTTGATCCGACCATGCCCTCACTCTGCATCAATTGCACCTGCACGACTTCACCCAGCACTTGCCATGCGCCGCAGACAGAGCAGTGGCCGTTTGCACGGGGCAGCCAAGCAGAGAGAAAAACGACGCCAGCGAGAGGCAGGATGGCTCTGCATCTCAAGTGGCTCCGGGGAGCTGCCAGACGGCTCCTCCGCCAGGGGCTGGGCTGCCGCAGGTAGAGGGCATTCACAATGTGAGCGCTCTGCCTGCAGCGGGGGCTGGGAGGGAGCAGCCCGGGGAGGGATTTTTCTCGTGGAGTTTCCTCCAACTCCAACGGGTTATTCTGTTTTACCTGCATCAGGGAAAGAAGAATCGGAGCTTTTAAGGGCTCTGAGGTGCGCGCCCAAACCCGTGGCTGATGGTTCTGGTCTGCTCTTGCTGTTAGCTTACAGAGAGAACATCCCTGTAAGTGAAGGAAACTGAGGCATGGAGGGAAAAGGATATTTCCTGAGGGCTTGGTAAGCTGTGTGTGTGTGTGGGGGGCAGCTTCACCTGATCTGGAAAGTCGCTTTTATGTTGACTGAAGCACAGCGCAGGGGTGCAGAGACCTTGGTGAGGGTTTGGGTAGGGCTCACTTGGGTTGGGGCCTCACATGTCTGCTTACATCCTCCTTTGGCTGTTCAAACACAGTGTTTGAACCTCTCACCTGGATGATGTCTGCCCTGTACCTATGAGAGAGACACGCACGTGTCCTCTGCACTGCTGGCTGGGGACAGAGGGACACAAGGACGGGTGGGCACCATGTGGGTAAGGGGGTGGAGGAGAAGCAGAGGCACCTATGGTTTCCAGTGGGTTGTAGATAGCTGTACGGGGGGGTCATTAGGATGAGAGCTCCTCTAGGGTCAGGTTTGTGCCTTCCCACGTGGTGGGCGCTCACGTGGCCGCACTGCTGAAACTTGTAAGAGGCCATGCAGAAAAATCAATGGTTGTGCTTCCGAATTACCGATCGCTCAGCAGATCGATGCAGCCTGCCCTGCGACTGCTGTACTGATAATGAATACCAGCAGTGGGAGCGCGGGAAGGGCTGCGGGCGTCCTGCTGCAGTGCCTTCCACGTCTCTATTTGTTCATGCTTTCACTGTAGTTCTTTTCCATTTCCTCACGGAGCAGCTTTAAACAGAGATCAGGTGATTGGTGGGGAGGGGGCTGCTACAGAGAGCTGCTTGCCGCTCTGCTGGAGGGGCTGGGATCAGAGGCACGTTCTGTAAAGAGGGATGTGGGTAATTTCTGACTGGAAGTGCTGGCTGGCGTGTGTCATTCCCATGGCGTTATTGTTGCGGCGAGAGCCTTCTCCCACAGTTGTGTAATTGTGACTCACCAGGTCTGGGAGGAGCGAGGCACACGGGGGTGGAGGTGCGCGTGGTGCCACGCTCTCTGGTGCTCCCCATCCAGCTGTGCTCCCTGGCTCTGCCAACAGCCTTTGCCAGGCTCTGGGATGCACAAACACAGTGCCAGCAGGTTTCCCCATCCGCCCGGCATTGCTTTCTGCCTGGGGGAGGTTATTTTTGTCCTTGTCATTGTGGTTCTGTTTGCACTTTGATGACCCCTTGGCACCGATAATAACATCTTTTAGATCCCTGATTAAACTTGCTATGGTGTCACAATCAATAAGCGTTGGCAGCTGAGACTGTAATAAGTATAATAATCCCCATTAGGGTAACAAATAGGGGGCAGAGAGAGCGGGGCTGCTAATATGGTAATGGCATGAATCTGCTTCGGTCTGTTGCAGCTGCAGCATCCTCACTGCAGGTGGTGGGGACAGGGCTGTAGCCTTCTGCTTCTGCTGCTCTCGTGTCTTGCATACCCCAGCTTGGAAATTTGGCTTTGCAACATCTCTTATTGGTATTCTGAAATGAATGCTGCTCGTGTCCCCTGTACTCAGTGTGGCAGAGGGGACAGGGCTCGATGCAGCCAAGGGAATGGCAATCCTGCCCCAAAGCTCAAAGGAAAAGTGAAGACTGATGTTATCAAGTGGAGAAATTCCTGCCCCAACCCATCCTGCTCGCTTGTCTTATGCAGAATGGGAGTTGTGGGGGCTGGGAGGGAGGGGATGCCGATCGCATTAAAGCAGCTGCCCAGAGGAAAAAGATCGATACGTAATTCTGTCCCCATTGATCCATGGCTCCGATGCTGTGGCTGTCCGCTGCGTTTTGATCACATTTCACAGTCACAGATGAGAGAGCCCCAGCAGTGGGAGCCCTTTGCACTGGGAGTACTAAAGGATGTCAAATGCTTTTCAAGTGAAAACTGTATGAGTTTTCCTTAAATAAACCCAAAATAGAGCAGCGGGAGCAGGGAGGGTTGGAGTGGTCACGGGGCTGTTGCTGTTATCATTTCTTGCTGAGGCTTCTATGAATGCAGGAGTGATGCTCCCTGCCCTCCAAATGTCACCTAGCTGAGAGGTGGCCACCAGAAAACCCCACGCCCTAAAAGCTGCTGGCACCAGCACGTGTAGGGGGCATCCGTGCTCCCAACTGCCTTTCATGGGAATGGAGCAGCCCTGCCTGGACCCAGCGGGGAATTTCCAGACAAGTTATTTTCTTGCTCGAAAAACAGAAGTTTGTTGAAATGCAGTATGTTTATAGGGAAACATCAATTTCTACACAATTTCTATTTCAAAATGCTTTTTGGGGGAAAAAAGGAAAGCTTTCGCCAAAAGACCCCACTTGACCACTTTCTCAGTAGAACATAATCCTTTTCTCGCCTCCAAATTACTTTTCATTTTGAAATGTAAGTAAATGTATTGCAAAATCCCCTTTTGAAAAGGGGCTGGAATCCCGCTGGAGCAGCCAGGGAGGATCTTGGTGGCAGGTTAACTCCTTCCAGCCTGGGCTCTGCGTTTTCAGACCCGTTCCCTCTCCTTTCCTTTCGATGCCGCTTTGCATCCTGCTGCAGCATGGTTAATGCCAGTGTTTTCTCCCTGGTATGAAGATTACTTCATCTCCAGGCATCAGGTTTTAAGGGCTGGCAGAACGCAGGGCAGAACTGCTCCTTTCTGTGCTGTTTTTTCCTCCCATTTACCCTACTTTGCAGCAGTTTCACTCGCTTGGGGACAGGATGCTTGTGGTTGCCCTGGCCCTGCTGCAGGCGTTTCCCCACAGTGGATGCGAAAGCTCTGCTGCCACACTGCTGCAAAGGCTGCTGATGGCACCAGCCCAGCAACAGTGCCCAGCAGCACCACATCGGTGCCCTCTCAGCCCAGCACCACTTCCAGTGGTGCTGCTCTGTCCCTTTCCTAGCCACTGCAGGCCTCATCAATAGAATAAAACACACAAACAAGATGCATTCCGTTAATAAAACAAACATCTCCATTGATCACCCCTGAGTTATTAATCTAGCTAATGGCTCAGTTGCAGATTTTAGTTCCCCCTCGCCCGCAGCACGTGCACTGCACCCTTGCATATGCAAGCACTCATCAGAAGCACCAGTGCAGCTGGAGAAATCAGCTTTGCTTCTGGGACTGGGGTAAAGGCAGAAGTTTTCTTATTTGTGAACTACAGTTGAGACCAATTGTGGCTATGAAAGGAGCTTGTCACCTCCCACAGGAGAAATGCCAGCTTGGCCACAGCCCTGCGGCAGCTCCCAGCCCAGATGGATGCCTCCAGTGATTTCTGCAGGAGATGAAAGCATCCATCATTACCTCTCCAAACCAGTCTGCTGCTACGTCTTGCAGAGAAACATCTGATCAATTAACATCTGTTGGGGTGATTCAGTGCTGTGCAATGCAGAGCGTGCTTCCAGGTGCAGGGATCCAAGGTGTTTCCCACCCTGATATTGGTGCCAAGACCCCTCCTGCCTGCAGCACCCCCCTGGCATGGCTCAGTATGGACCCCAATGTTCCATGCCAGCTTCTCCCCAGGCTTCCTGCTGGAAAAGCCATACGCCTAGAGCACATCAGCCCCTTCTGCCCTGCCCAAAGCCTTTCCAGCATTGGAGGGGTTGAGGTTGGGACCCCCAGAATGGAGCAAATGTGCTCAAATCTTGACATAGCAAGCAGTGACTGTGTTGGTGAGCAGCCAAAATCTGACCTGCTTTTCTCTTTATTATATCTGCTTGGAAATCTTGTGCAGCTCTTTAATCAAATGCTTCAATGCCTCTAGAGCTGGAAAGGATTCAGAGAATGCGCCTGGACTGTTTGCAAACTTCTCCTGGCTCCAAGTGCGTTCCCTGCTTGCTTTTCTTTGGGGACAAAAGGAACTGGAGCAGGGAGCCCTGCACACATCAGCTTCACCCCAGCTGTGCTCTGAGGAAGGGTGCAGTTGAGCTGGAGCTGGAGCCAGTGGCCATGCTTAGGCTGGGGCAGGGGTGTGCAGCAATGCCCAGGGCATGTGGCAGTGGGAGCCACTTCCCCGCTAAGCTCTGTGGGATGGAAGAGCCCATGAATTGGGCTGCACCCTTTGTAGCTCGCCAAGGGTGGTGTTTTGGTGTCCATATGGACTTCAGTGGCTTTGAAGCTTGATGCCTCCTTTGGAAACGGAAACCTAAAATTACAGCAAGCACATCAATGCATCTGCTGGAGAGTACCCGATGGGCTGGCAGTGGGATATCCAGTTCCCAGCTGGGGAAGGCTTGTGGAGAGATGCAGGAAAAAGCCAGGAGCTATTTCAGCTCCCTGTGCCACCCCCTTCCTCACACAGCTCCGGTTTCAGTGCTAACAAATGCTTTGCAGGGAGCTGTGCCAGCGATGCTCAGAGCACGCAGCATGGGAGCAAATTGTCACCCTGCCCCGTGCAGGGAAATCCCTTTGATGCTAATGTGGCTGGAGGGGGAAGGAAGAGGAGTGGGCATGAAGGCATCCTGCTCGGCTGGTTCTCTGAGCCCTGACAGGCTTTGCAGTGTTCTTCTGTTGCTTTTCAGCTTTTGCTGTTAGATTTGATAATTGCAGCTGGCTGGCTTGCTCCCTCCTTGCTGGAAAAGCACTGACTTGTTATGCGCCTCAGTGCACCCAGGGCAAGGCTGGATCTTGCAGAGCTGGTGGGGGAGGATGGTGAATGCATCCATTGCCTAGAAGGCTTGGAAGTGAGCCTGATAACGGAGAATATGCCTTGCTGGAGTCAGGCAGAGGTGTTCAACACTTGGGATACAGCCAGAAGGAGGAGCAGGGTCTGCAATGGGCAAATAATGGGGTTTTCCAAGTGTCTGTTGTGCCTCTTTCCTGGCAGCACCAGCAGCCTGGTGCGGATGGAGCAGCCGTCCGGGTGTTTCCCGGTGGACCTGAAGAGTGATGCTGCGGCAGCTCCGCGCTGTCATCCGTGACGCAGATGTGTCACCGTCCCCCGGGGTCCCCGTGCGGCAGCCAGTGCCAGCTCCTGCTGCCACCACCATCTCTGAGTCTGCAAAGGAGGGAACCTGATGGCCGGAGCATCTGTGCACACAGCAGGGAGCTGGCTGCTGGCCCCGAGATGCGCTGAGCGGTCACAAACAGGGGACAGAAATCCCTGCCTAGCCTGGAAGGAGCCCCTCGGGCTCAGGAGAGGTGGATGTGGTGGATGTGCTGTCTCTGCCTCCCACATCCCTCTGTCACCATGAAGCTGAATGCTGGGAGCCTGGTGGTGCAGCCCTGCTGCAAATCCTGCTTTTGCTTGGGTTCTTCTGGGATTCATGACAGCCTGGAGGCCTCAGGGTGGGTGCAAGGGAGGAATCCAGGAGGCAGAAAGAGCTGAGAAATGTGAGGGAAGAGAGCTGTGGAGGAGGATAAGGACCTGAGCTGGGTATCCAGGGATGGAGCAGCTGCTGCTAGCAGTGTCTGTGCCCAAGCAAGCTGCTCCTCTCTCTTTCATAGCCCTCCCTGAGCCCACTGAGCTGAATCCCCCCCATATTTCTGCCCTCCTCCTTCCTCTGCCCCTGTGTGTGCCAAGGATGTCCCCTGAGACCCCACTACTGCCTTTCCCCTGCAGCCTCCCTGCAAAAACACTTTCCTAAGAACTCTGGAATAAAAAAAGAAAGAAGAAACAGCCCCCTTGTTCTGCTGTGACCAACTGGCTCTTTTTCCAGTCACAAGGGCGAGCTGAAGCAAAAGTTTCCATGCTGAGCAGGAACAGAAAGAGAGAGGGAGAAGTAACAAACCCTCCACTAAAGAAAAAAAAAAAAAAGACAAAGGAAAAAAAAGGGCAGCAAAATCAAGCATTGCTTCCTTTCCCTCATCTACTTCCTTTTTGGAACAAGGCAGGGTACTTGGAGAAGTGTGCTCTAAGCAGGCGCAGATGCGTGTGCTGCTGAGCTGGAGATCAGAGCTGTGCAAACGTTGGTTTAGTGCTGCTCGAGCGGTGGAGTGAGGGGCGCGGGGCGCCTCTGAATTCGGGTGCTTTGGGGTTATTGCCACATCAAGTGTGCAAGGCTTTCCTGGCTTGCTGCTGCCAGGGCCAAAGAGGCAGAAATGTGGTTTAAAAGCTGATGGTCCCCGTGACATCTCAGGATGCTGGGCTTTGGAGAAATATTGAACAAGGAGAGATGGGCACCAAGTGCTTCCTTTTGGGTTGTGCTTCTGGGAGGTCAGCTTGGAAGCACCAACAGAGCTCAGGTCCAATGTTTTGCTGGCAGCAGTGCTGTTGCTCTGGGGGTCTGGATGCACATTGGAAGTGACAGTCCCTGTCCCACGGTGCTTCCTCTCTCTGCACCATCAGAGTGATGAGACATTCTTGCTCTGGGGCAGCTATGAATAGCACTGGGATTTTCAACCCGCAGATTTTCAGGACAGAGCCTCTATCCAGGAATCCTCACTGCAGCTTTCTGTAGGGCAGTGTGGGGCAGTGCTGGTGGCCTGCTAACAGCATCCCTTCCTCCACCACTCAGCTGTGTGTTGTCTGCAAGCATGCTGGGGGTGCACTCAGTTCCACAGTCATCATTGACAAAGATGTTGAAGATCACTGGCCTCAGCATTTTGGTTTCTCCAAAATCTCCCCTTGAGGTTCCTCCCTTGGTCCCCTCCTGCTAAATGGTTCATCCTGAATGCCCTCCTTATTGCCCCTGATAGTCACGCTGGCATAAATGCCTTTTGGACAAAACGCTGTCTCTCATCGACTCTGTGTACAGCCCTGATGAGCTGCATCCTTAAAAACTGATCCAAGTGATGTGACCTTTCCTCAGTCATTCCCCACTGCCCCAGGAATTTGAGAATGATGCACCTGTTTGTCTTTGCTGGGCCATAAAGGAGAAGAGAAACAAAACAGCGAAAGAGAAATAAAGCAGGGCAAGAGCAGCCGGCCCTCTCCTGGCTTGTTCCTATGGGTACCACGGGCAGGATGGCGCTGCCAGCAATGGTAATTCCCCACGGTGACAATTCCCTGGCAATTTCCTCCTTTCTCCTCCCTTTTCCCAGCATCACTCTCACATGCCAGCTCAGGCACGTCTCCGCAGCTCCAGGCAGAGATGTGCGCCTGGCGCTGGTGTTGCACAGAGGTGATGCTGCTCCGCTCTGCTCTGCTCTGCTCTGCTCTGCTCTGCTCTGCTCTGCTCAGGCGGTCCCCTGCAACCACAGCCCCGCCATTCCTCTTGGAGAAGCAAATCCTGCTGGCTGTGACGCCGGCACAGGGGAGCAGCCACCCCGAACGCCCATCCCCAGCTCTCAGGAAGGGTGGATGCTGTTTGAGGAGGCGATGTGGGAACACTGCACCCCACATCCCCTGGCTGTGACCCTCCCCTGGGGAAGCGGCGCTTGCTGGGAGCCAACTTGCTGTCGTTTCTGGAAAGTGGAGCTTTGAGCAAACTATTTATAAACGGAGTTTTCTTTAACTCCTGAAATTGAGCCATAACTTCAGACAAACAGGAAAAAAAAAAATGCAGGCAAATAAACACAGGCAAAAATAAATATATTGGCAGCCTAATTTTGCAAACAGTCCAGTGGTCTTGGGAAGGGTCCAGGTTTGGAAGCATTGGCACTGGAGCTTGCCAATGGCTTTTGGTGGCCTGCGGGGCTGCAGGGGTTTCTTTCTGCCTACTTTGCTCAAGGATGAATCCTCCAGAGTATTTGCCCCCCAGGTTTTGGAGGAGCACAGATGGGACACATCACCCAGCATGTTTGCCTCCCAGAATCTGCCATCCCAAAAGCAGAGCTAGGGTGTGCAACCCTGATGGGCTCCCCGTTGTTTGTCCCTCCACAGGACTGTGGAAGACAGCAGTGCTTTGCTGTGCTGGGGCCACCGTTCCCTCCGCAGCACAGGACTGACAGCAGTGCTGTCAGCCCCCAGCATAAATCCTGCTGATATTTAAGCTCTGAGCCATCTCTGCCCACCCGCAATTACCTCGGTGGGAAATGCCAGGCACAGTGACCTTTCTCCATGCAGGGGATTTATGGCCTTGCATCGCCAGGGCTTTTACAGCCTGATTTGTCGACACAGCCTCAAATGCCACCAGGGATGAGTGCCGCTCCATACCCACAGAGCGTGGTGCTCCTGCATCTGTGGGGCACGAGGCTCGTTGGATGGCAGCACCTCACCCACTGCACTGAAAGCCCTGCCCAGCCTTGTCAGCACTGCATGCCCCGCTCCCTGCACTCCCACCAGCAGCCCCAGCCCATCTCAAACGCGTTCATCCATTTCTGCCACCGGAGAGAGCAGCTTCAGGAAGCAGGGCCATAAATCACTGGCAATGATTAGAAATAAAAATCATTATTGTGATGAATGGGGTTTTATTTCTCTTTTAAGAGAGATTGTGGAAAACCAGAGCGGAGGAGAGGCTGGGGAAGAGGAGGTGTTACATTTTCAATTTTTGACAAATTAAGGAGGATAAAGCTGACTGCATGAGAGATCTTTGAAACAGGCGTTTGCTGTGTGTCCCTTGCTGGGGATGGAGGGAGCATGAGTGTGTGCGTGTGAGTAAGGGCTTCAGTAACCAAGCCTGGCCTCCAGCACCTCTCCTACCAACACACCCCATACCTTGGGCTTCCCATACGGTTCTGCATTATCAGGACAACGTATTGCACTTCTCAGGGCAATGCTTGTGCCTTGGAGAAGTTGTCTTGGCCACTCATGGCGAGGTACTTGGTGCTGTACAAACCCTGTGAAAGCAATGGTCGTGGCTTCAGTCTGCGGGGAATCATCTGCTGGTGTCTGCAGTGCCCACATCCCACATCCTACAGCATCCCCGTCCCATAGCGCCGGCATCCCCGCATCCCTCTGCACCCACGCTCCTGTCGCTGGCTCAGCTCCTTCTGGCACTGCAGCTCCCAGATCCAAGGGGAAGCTACGCACATGATGACTTCAGGATTGGGAGCTTGTATTAATTAAGCAGCAATGATCCAAGTCACAGACCATTTCCTGGGGATTAATGACTGCCTGGGAGGAGTTAATGACTTGAGATGAAGCCAAAAACCCCATTTACCCCAAATGATGCTGAGTGTGAGCACACACCCTGTGCCAAGGTCAGCACCACCATTTTAAGACAATATTTTAAATCAGTGCTAAGGGTAATGAGGTCTAGGAAATGGATTTTCCTTCTCACCATGGTAGTGCAGATCAATCGTGGGTAAGTTTGGGGAGAGAGAATGCCCCTGGCATTAAAGCATGGGCCCATTACTGGGGGCAGGATGGTGCCCAGGGAGTGCCCCCCACCTCTGCTTGCAGTTTCTAGCTGAGCTGCATAGGCCAGAAGCACTCAGAAGATGCAGGTGTGAAGAGCAAGGGAAGCAGTGAGGCAGAAAGAGACCCACTGCAGCATTGTGCCTGGAGTAAGCCAGAATCCGTCCACTTGACGATTACTGCCGATAAATGTTTTAGAGTTGTCATGGCAATGAAAGAGCCCGGCTAATCCTTGGGTTGCCTTTCCTCAAAGGGAAGAAAGTTTGCAGCGCCGTGGGGTGGGTACCTGCCTGCGGGAGGGAGCAGCCCTGCGGGTGCTTTCATCTCAGTGCTGCCAGTCCTCCCACGCGCCGATGAAAACAAGTCCTTCTGGAGGAGGGGGAGAGCTGCTCCATCCCCACCAGGCAGTGAGCGATCCCTTTGTGATCACTGATTATTTATTTGCAGTATATCCCTGCCTTGTATGTCAGCGCATCCCTGCCTTCCCTATCGCGGGTGGGATGAGTGAATGCAGCACCAGCTGGTCACGGGATGCTCTGAGCAGACTGCAAATGGGGATTAAACTGGAGGTGGATGTAGACAACATGATGCTTGGGGAAAGAAGAGTCTAAATGCATCCTGCCCAAGCATCTGTCGCTGGCTGCAAGTAGAAATCATAGAATCATAAAACACTTGGTTTGGAATGGCCTTTGAAGTTTATAGGACTGTACAGCGGCTGGATTGGAAGGGACCTTACAGCCCTCCTAGCCCCAACCCCTCCCTCAGCCTGTCCCCACAGAAGAAATACTGCAGCCTCTCCGAGCATCTTCTTTGCTCTCCTCCAACAGCTCTACATCCTTCATGTGCTGGAGGGCCCAGACCATTGGCTTTTCCCTTCATCCCAGCCAAAGCAGAGCAGTCCAAGGCACCAACAGACAGCAGTGTGGTGGGAAATGGGGCAAAAACACCCAGCCCAGCAAATATCTCTGTCTCCTGGGCAGATGAACATCTCCAGCCAGGTGTCTCCCCTCTCTGAAGCCAGGATGGAGCTGAGCACTTGGTGAACAACCAGGCACCATCCACCTCATGGGGCACACACAACTGCTTTCCCACTGCAGCCAGGAGCTTCCACAGAGCTGCTCATTCAAGGCTCACTCCTATTACTGGAAAGTTTTATAGCCACTGACTGTTTGTGATTAATCATTTTGTTTTAATTGCTGCTCCCTTGGCTGGCAGAGCCTCAGAGGGGATTTTATGCCTCTTGGCTGCTTCCCTCAGGTATGTTCCAGGATGGTCTGATTGCAGAGCACCAAGCATGAGAATAGTCAAAGCTCGCATGCAGGTTCAGTGGGGTATGGGCTTGGTGGCCGTGCCACCAGCAGTAGCTCAGGAGCCAACATGCCATGGAACCCCTCACTCAGCATCTCTGCTTCCCAGGCAGCACAGTGGGAGAAATCTGCA